TGAGCCCAGTGACACCATTGAGAATGTCAAGGCCAAGATCCAGGACAAGGAAGGCATTCCCCCTGATCAGCAGAGGCTGATCTTTGCTGGCAAGCAGCTGGAAGACGGACGCACCCTGTCTGACTACAACATCCAGAAGGAGTCCACCCTGCATCTTGTGCTGCGCCTGAGAGGTGGCATGCAGATCTTTGTGAAGACCCTGACTGGCAAGACCATCACCCTTGAGGTTGAGCCCAGTGACACCATTGAGAATGTCAAGGCCAAGATCCAGGACAAGGAAGGCATTCCCCCTGATCAGCAGAGGCTGATCTTTGCTGGCAAGCAGCTGGAAGATGGACGCACCCTGTCTGACTACAACATCCAGAAGGAGTCCACCCTGCATCTTGTGCTGCGCCTGAGAGGTGGCATGCAGATCTTTGTGAAGACCCTGACTGGCAAGACCATCACCCTTGAGGTTGAGCCCAGTGACACCATTGAGAATGTCAAGGCCAAGATCCAGGACAAGGAAGGCATTCCCCCTGATCAGCAGAGGCTGATCTTTGCTGGCAAGCAGCTGGAAGATGGACGCACCCTGTCTGACTACAACATCCAGAAGGAGTCCACCCTGCATCTTGTGCTGCGCCTGAGAGGTGGCATGCAGATCTTTGTGAAGACCCTGACTGGCAAGACCATCACTCTCGAGGTTGAGCCCAGTGACACCATTGAGAATGTGAAGGCGAAGATCCAGGACAAGGAAGGCATTCCCCCTGATCAGCAGAGGCTGATCTTTGCTGGCAAGCAGCTGGAAGACGGACGCACCCTGTCTGACTACAACATCCAGAAGGAGTCCACCCTGCATCTTGTGCTGCGCCTGAGAGGTGGCATGCAGATCTTTGTGAAGACCCTGACTGGCAAGACCATCACCCTTGAGGTTGAGCCCAGTGACACCATTGAGAATGTCAAGGCCAAGATCCAGGACAAGGAAGGCATTCCCCCTGATCAGCAGAGGCTGATCTTTGCTGGCAAGCAGCTGGAAGATGGACGCACCCTGTCTGACTACAACATCCAGAAGGAGTCCACCCTGCATCTTGTGCTGCGCCTGAGGGGTGGCATGCAGATCTTTGTGAAGACCCTGACTGGCAAGACCATCACCCTTGAGGTTGAGCCCAGTGACACCATTGAGAATGTCAAGGCCAAGATCCAGGACAAGGAAGGCATTCCCCCTGATCAGCAGAGGCTGATCTTTGCTGGCAAGCAGCTGGAAGATGGACGCACCCTGTCTGACTACAACATCCAGAAGGAGTCCACCCTGCATCTTGTGCTGCGCCTGAGGGGTGGCTGTTAAGTTATTGTGCATCTTGCTTACAACAAGATTGCCAATAGCACTTGTGTTTGCACTGTAGTTCTTTAATGTCTTAATATTAAGTTAAATGCAAGGTTTATGCAAGCTTAAGTAACTGCTGAACAAGTGTCTGAAATGCTAATAAAGTTTTCTGTTGCACATTACAATTTGTAGTCTGTCTCAGTTCAAGCTAGTAAAACTGGTGTATTTAAGTGACATGCTTACTTTGGCTTTGTTCCTTGGCGGTTTAAGCCTCTTTGCATGTATAACGAGGACCTTGTGGATGAAACAGATCTGGATTAAAGTCTTAATTTAAGCACTAATACCATGTTACTTCTTATTCCTAGAGTTTAACACAACTTTTATTTCCAGGAGGGGTAATATGTTCTGTTATACACCCAGAATGCTGGAAACCAAGGGTGGTAGGACTGTCAATACAGTGGGGTGGGTTTTGCTGCAACTTGTAAACTTGTAGTGTCTTTAAATGGACTCTACCAGCCTTGAGAGGAGTGTGAACAGCTTCATTGCATAGCACTGCCATGAGGTGACTTGAGCTTCAGTATGTTGGGGGGGGGCTATGTGAGCAAACATGAGTAGCTCTGTATTTTTTTGAGTGGGAAAACTACAGTTTCTTCCAGTCGCAGCCTGTTCAAAGTAAATTTTACAAAGGTGGATGTGGGGTTTTTTCTCTGCTTGGCTGAACTACAGGAACACATCATCTGGAGAAGGACTAATTGCAGGGGTAATTACTGCTGGTGTGGGGGCTGTCTTAACACATAAGCTCTAGTGAAAATTCTTTTAAATACTGAATAGCAATACATGATGGAGCAGTATAGCAATTTCCTGGTTTAAGTAGAAGTTTTACAGTCATTTAATGGCAAAAGCTAGGGAGTTTCCACTGAAGTCTGGGTGGTGGTTTTTTTAATGGGGTGGGTTAAGGAAACTTGCCCAAACAGGCGTTGGGAGGCTTGCGGTGGGGGTTAGAATGGTTTGGTTCAACTGTGTAGTGATGGGTCTTAAAAGGTGGATGTAATCATCCATATGCCCTTTCACAGAAACCTAACGGGTTGTAAGGATCGTAGCTGTCAATGTCTTCATCTGTTGAATTTTGACAGCTGCTTAACTTGAAATGGGAGTCTTGGCATCCATATGCTGCGTGCACAGTGCATGCAGATATGCTCGTGCACTTCGCTTTTTACTGATAACCCTGTATTATGCACCATCTTGATTGACTTTTTTTTGACCGTTGTAGTGTTGCTGTGAAAGTTTGTTCCCTTGAATTTCAGCTTTAAATTTATCATTACTGAGTGTAGTAAGTAATGCACTTTTAGCAGTGCATTCTTAGCATGGATTGGTGTGCAATCATGGCCAAAGTGTTACTACTGTTTTCATAGAAAACTGCACATTGTAGCGAAGTGCAGGGTGGTTTTCATGGTTATAACCATGAAGGCTGCTTTTTTTTTTCTAGCAGCAGGACTTGCCTCCCTGTCTACATAGCTGTGGTAGCAGAAATCTAAAGTTCTGTGAACAATTGCTGTTTCTACTATAAGAGATACTTTCCTGAGGTTTCCTGCAATTGCTTCTTTTGCCTGTCCTTGATTTTTGCAGTTCAGCCACTTAGCCAGGTTTTGCTTTTTCCAGTTTAGCCTCCTAGGCTGGTTGCCCCAAGAGGTTGTAGAGACTCCTTCCTTGGAGATACTCAAAAGCCATCCGGACGTGCTTCTGGGTGACCAGCTCTAGGCGGCCCTGGTTGAGTAGGAGGGCTGGACAAGATCACCTCCAGAGGTCCCTCCCAACCTCAACCATTCTCTGATTCTGTCACTTCTGGCTGGGTGTCTCACAGCCTGCTGTCTGCTCGGTAGTGTACAAACTCCCCATGCAATTCATAGTAGTCCAGAGGAGGTACGGCACTGAGTAACTTTACTTAATCTTTTTCTGCTGCTGATTTGCTCCGTGGTAAAACCAGCTGCTTTATCTTCCCTGGCTCATGATTGAGAGATGTCCTTTCTCAAGTTCGGCCAATAATTAAGCTATGCTGTATGGTAACAGTTACAGACGCTGGTCAGATAATGCAGGCTGCAGGTGCAGTTTGCTTTGGTTTAGATACCAGTCTGTAAATGGCAGGTAGCCTTCCTCCAGAGTCAGTTACTGAATGAGAACTGTTGCAGGAGCGTTGCTCAAATATGGTGTGGAACTCAAATGTTAGGCGCGGCTGGCTTTGTGCAGAGCTATCTTTGGGGTTTGGTCTGCCCTGCAAGAACAGGGACCCTGGGAACGTGAGGTGTCGCAGTCTGAGTGGGTCTGCACCAGCTTCCCAGCGCGTGCTCACTCTAGCTTTATTCAGCCCAAGCCAAACCTATGTTGAACCATTGCCTCTGCTGGTACTTCTGGTGTTCCTGTTTGTGGATGGTTCGTAAGCGGAGCCATGCGTGGAGCCTGCTTCAGCCTGGTGTTGCACCTGAGGTAATAAGGAGTGGGAAGAGGGGGGAATGTTCAGGCTTTTTGTGACTGGGGAGCAGCTCAGGCCTGGTTTAGGCAGCCTGAGCCTATTGTGTGAAATTGAATGTGTCCGTGTGCTGTTTTCCCCAGCGCTGTGGGAAGATTTCCGTAGGTGAGGCTTGTGTTGAAAATTAACTGACTGACTAGAAATGGCACAGAACAGCATATCCTGAAAGCCAGAGTACAAGGAGTGAAATCCCCAGATGCTGTCGTGTTGCAGCACTACCCCGGGTGAAGTGCGGAGCTGGACTCTCAGATGGCTCACTGCGAGGACCCTGGGGTGCTTGCGCTGGACTTCTGCTTCTCTTGTCGGAGCTGTGTTATCAAGGCTTCTGATCCCCCAGCTAAGGGAGAGGTGGCAGTCACTGGCTGGAAGAGATGATTGCAAGGGATTTCGTCGTTAATAAAGAGAAATCTTTGCAATTTATCTTAAATGATGTGAATTAGGGAAATGTATATAAATTACAAGGAAATGTAAATACGAGTTTGTGTAACATGCATTGTTTACACTGAAGAAGTTATGAACAAAAGACAAAGTAAGAGGTATCAGGCAATATGAATGATTGATGATGTTAAGGTACAACATTTGTTTTCCTTACAATGTAGTGGTAACTCAATTCAATCTGCTTAGAGCCAACTATTCATAACTAAAATAAGAATTTAATAGGCTTTAGCCAGAATCTATATGCTATTAAAATGGAATAATCCTAATGGTCCCGTATAGACAACAGATTCTGATATCTTTTAATCCTGCTGCAACCTGAGCTTTGTTTTTTCTTATAGCTTCAGTTAATGTCTAGTTTGTTCTCTCTTTAAAAAAAATGAAAATTCCAAGATTTCAGGGTTTGTCTTTTGTGCTTTAAAAAAAAAAAAATCTGTTTTAAGAAGACAAATGAGATAACCCTGTTATACTGGGTTTCGGATACATTCAGTGTTTTGCTGTGGTAGCAACTGCCCCAAAACAAAATCATATAGGGAAAGTGAGGGTTGAGGCAGAGAAACATCAGGCATACCTCATTAATTTTGCAGTCTTGTCTGCAGTTCCAAAGGCATTGCATAGTAGCTGCGTTCAAAGATCCTTGGCTGCACAATTTTACATTTATGGAACATCGCTGCATCATTAAAAACAGCCTTATTTGGAACTTGAGTTTTTAAGTTAGACGCGTTTCTGTTAACTACTTGATACAAACAGTAAGTGAATGACTATAATTCTCACAAGTTTATGCTTGCAACTCTTTTTGCTGTTTTTGAAGAATTTCCTATAGAGGCTGTTTTCATAAGCAGCTGGAATTCAGGTTTCCTTAACTGCCACTGGATGTCACTGTTTCTCCACAAAAGTGTTATTTAACATTACCGTTGGATTTCATATTTTGCTGCTATTTGATTGTCAGTGGAGCATTCCTTCAGGCTGTAATCCTACAGAAAGGGATACATCAAGTACAAAGATACTTCCATTTAAGGAATAAGAGAAGTGGATGGTTCCTTCAAAGGCCTGAGAAGTGTATAGATAGGAGCCTTTAAATGTTAGGATGTAAGTCTAGTAGTTACAGAAATACTGTCATGTAAATTAATTGAGTCCCCAGGGCTATCAGACAAGTTCTGGCAAAGAATTATATTTAAGAATATTTGGTTTTTAGATTGGGCACTGGCTGACGTCTCTAGAGGTGTAGGATTCCATCTGTGTAACTATAACAAATGAAGCTGCTAAAATTCATCCCTTCATTGTGGGTTTTACATTACGTTGCATGAAAAAAAAGTCTGGCCTTGCAAAAATACTTGATATTTTTCCAAGTGTGAAAGCACACCTTCAAAAGAAACAGTTTTCTCTTTTAGCTGTGTGGCCTTCGTGAGGTTTGAATGAAGCGCTGGCCTACCTGTTGTTCTGGAGGAAATGTTAACGGTTACCCTTGCATGCTGTTATTACAGGCTTCCCTCCTCCTGTGAAGAAGATTTTGAGCTGCTTCCCCTTACAGTGACTACAGATCAATGCTGTAATTAAATTACAAACACATGTAAGTGGCTTTGATCTTCTATTTACAGCATACAGAAAACATGATAGTAATCATAAGAGTATTACATTTTTCAGTATTTGGTAAAAATGGGCACTTAAGTGAACAGAGAATACATATTTTAGGAAATGTGCTTGTTTCCATCTTTTCAGAAAGCCATCTTCCTCATGCTTCCTTTTGTCTTCTGTTTCAGCAGGTTCCGGTCATTGCTTTTCCTGCCATGAATTATTGTGCTGCTTCATATATCATCTATAATTGTATCATAATTATGAAAATATTTGATAATATTATGAAACAAAAATTATTGATTTGACTTAAAATTTCACTTAGTAGTTAAGAGTTTGACTTATCTTTTCCCAGATTTAAGGTTTCCACAGAATGTGTCTCTCCTGTCAGGAGAAACTTAGTGCCATCATATTTTCATCAGCAAAATAAGCACTGAGCAATTGCAAGATTCCTCCTTGTTCCCCCAAATAAAAGCCTCAAAAGGCAAGAGGATCACGAGTTGCTTTTGAAAACTCAGGCTGGGAGATAGATGAAATTAAATTGCTGCTTTTACTCTCTCTGCATGCTGCTTTGGATGGCTTTCTCCCAATTCCTAACAGCTATCAGGATTTTAAGTTTTGGTGGCAGGGTGCTTGTTAAGCAGCATAACCAGCTCAGCTGGCTAGTGCACAGCAGCGACCTAATCCCATTACTGACCTCGGAACACTGTTACTAGCAGTTGCACATTTGAGCAGATCTTGTATTTTTTTTTTCTGCCTTGCTTCTCCCTTCTCTGAAATGGAAGTGCAAGTGTTTACCCTGGTGTA